CCATCATATGGAGATGTCAATTTTCGATTAATACCTGTTGCTTGCTGATTCTTTAATCGGTTTTTTTTTGCTGGTTCTTTAATCGGTTTCTCATAGCTTAAGGCTAATCTCATAGCTTAAGGCTTTAAAATAGCTTAAGGCTAATTTTGTTTATTTTGTGCGACTATAAAATTTTCAGCTGCCTCGCGTCTTGCTTCGATTAGGTTTTCAACGACTAATGGTATCTGCTTAATATCATTAGTTAAGATGCTGTCAGTGCCTTCAGTACTACCTTTTGGGGACTAAGACAATAGTAATTGGCTTGGTGTTTTGCCAGTCGGTTTATTAACGACAGTATTGAGACCAAATTAAATATCTCTTACCTTTTCGTCCCAAAGCCCTTATTCGGATGTTGAGGCAAGGAGAACGTCAAGGATTGTTCGGTTTAAACGTTCGACCTGTCCATTAGCACGTGGAGTAGCGACAGCATTAAGAACATGCTTAATATTATTTTGTTGACAGACATTTTTGGAAACTTTGGATGTAAAACAACTTCCTCGATCTATGATTAGTCTTGGGAATGCCATAGGTCGAACAAATATCTTTAAGGTAAACTATACCATGTTTTGTTTTTGTAGACTTTACTTGTTTTAGAAATCAAAATTTAATAAAACCATCAATGGCAACTATTAAATATAAATTAGAATGTTTACTTTTCGGAAATGGACCCAGATGATCGATATGTACTACATCATAGGTTCAGCTCAAACTCGTCATGAGCTACTTGGACAATTTGGTGACGCATTCCCTTTGGGACTGCCCATTTTAAACCATGTGCCGTAATTCGATAGATCCGTTCGTTACGTAAACAATAATTTTTATAAACTTGGTGTTCGTGTTCGGTTTCAGAAGGCTACAGAAGTATATTCTTAATGGCGGATATCTTGGTATTTGTTAATTGCCCTGACAAAACCCAGTCAGCTTGTTCTCTACGCATTACTTTCTCACAGGCATGTGAATCACAAGGATTGCGACTTAAGACGTCTATGTGTTTCATTCTTTTACAAAGTGTGTACACTACCATAAAAATTCTTGAAACTCCAGCCACCATATAGCAATTCGAGAAATCATATCCTTCTTTGTTTTGGCTGTCTCTAACGAATTACAATATGCTACAGGAGTAAAAAAATATATATCCAATAGGTAAATTATAAATTTTCTTAGACTTTCAACAACAGCTAATGTTCCAAGCTTAAACGAATGATATTTTTGTTAGAAATCGGATGGCGTAATCTGTCATTTGACTGTCGCTGTAGTACCTCCGGCAAGTTTAACTTTGAAACTAAAACTTTGCTTGCATAGATGTTATTGCCTTGTTTGCACTTATACAATTGAAGGACTTATTGTAATAACATGATATGCCACAAATTCATAATTCTGAATTATTAGACTTCGCAGTTTCGAAAAAAATGTTTAAATTTAACTATTAATAAATATAAATTTGAACACGTTTTAGAGTAAGTTTAGTTTAACTCTACTAAGTATTTATCTGACAAATTTGTTGGATAAAAGTCAAGAAAAACACTAGTTACTAGGTAATAATTTCTGGTTGAGATTGTTCTTCTCGTTTACTGTTATAAAATTATTTTATTGGTAAACCATTTCTATTTCGACCAGCTCAAGAGAAGATTTATTTATTTATTTAAAAAGAAACTAAACTTATCTATACAAATTATCATTGCTATATTTCTAGAAAAATTACTTTCAATATTTTAAATTTCACAAAAAAAATAATCAGAAACGACTCTGAAAATAAAAATATTAGTTTTGCTAGCCTTTAATAAAGTTCTGATTTAAACAAAATATGTAGTGGATAACTTTACACTACATACGAGTGGATGTAACAATTGACTAAATGTAAAACACAGTTTCCACATATAAATATAACCGATATAGAGTTTTCGCATTATTTTTTTCATGTAGTAGAAAATAAAGTTATTATTTCAGTATTTTAGGTTATTCTTAATCGTTGGCTTATTTGAGGTCACACACACAGACTGCTCAATTAAGGATAATAATCTAGATTTACTTCACATGTTTAGTCAAATAACAAAAATATTTTTTTTTTTAATTTAACTTAATTCAATATTTAAAAATAATCCATACTATATGAAAGCAGTAAAACAACCGTTTCGAAGCTATCGCACACAGTTGCTATTTTAAATATCAGTAAACTGAAAGCTAACCTTTTCATCTGCTTATTTATATTTGACAAGAGCACCTATATTTTTGGTGTTATATTGCTAATTTCTAGCTATATTTTTAATTGATAATCCCAAAGAAGAGTGATAAACTCATTTTATATTTATCACCTACACAAAATATACATATCAGTATTATAAATATACCTGTTCAAGAATCTCTCAGAAATACAAATCTTAGGTATGTTCTTGCTAACACCTTGTTATTGCGGAAAATGATGTCTTGGTCAGAAAGATTAATACACGATAAAACTTTTAGCTTTCCAGGAAAAAACCGTATAATAATATTAGGTATTATATTATACTCTCTGTTTTCTTGTATACAATACTACTGTTTCAATAAAACGGTCACCTTTAATATTTTTACAATAAACTTGAATATTCGCAGCATGGCTTGCAGGAACATTTGTGTCTGATGTACATGCAATTTAACTTTCTTTAATTGAAAAGCTGGGTCGATGTTTTGAAGTTCGTCTGTAATTTTTGATTTAAGAAATTTAATTCAAGTCCTATCTTTAACAATTATTACGTGAGGTAGTTCTGTAAAATGTCTACCAAACTGAAATAGGAAATTCTTGTAAATCATCTTTTACTATCTTAATCTTTACTTCTGCCTCTAGTTGGTCAATTTTAATTTTCAATTGAATAGAACCCAAAGTGGTTGCAACTTCTTGTCCAAAACATTTACGTGCACATATATCATATCTAATTCCTAAAGTATTTAAATTACTTAATCTTATTGTCGTACACGAACTTCCTAAATATATATAAGCAATAAATTTGTCCTATTATCATTGATTAAAATACCCTTAAAATACTTCTTATAAGTCATCTGTTGTGCCTAGTCATGCAATCGGCTTAGTATTTTCCCTTTCCTTTTTATAACAATTTGCCTCAATGTGCCCACTTAGTTTACAATAGTTACACTTTCGCTCATTAAGTTTACTCTGTGTCGTACACTGTAAATGTGCACACAAAGATTCTGTGCCGTACACTCTTTGGCAATGTGGCCAGTTTTACCACATGTGTCGGTATATCTTTAAATATCAAGAAACTAAATTTGTAAAAAAAATGTCACGACCATCCAGAACCTAGGATCTACCTTTTATTATCCCACTTCTGAAAAATTCTATGGTACCAAAAAGCCTGAGCATATTAAATTTTAATCGAATTTAATAAATCTAAAAAAAATATAAAATATTCATTGGTAAATAAACAAAAACTTAAAAGAAACCAAACTTTAATTCGAACGGCTATGGGTAAGGCAGGTTCTTGTTCAGGATGGTTCATGACATAGACTTGCCTGAAAAGAAAAATCTTTGTGAGTATGCCGGTCCTACAAAATTCTGATATTTATTATTAAGGTAAAATATCACAGTTCAAATGTTACAACGGGTAATAAACGCAAAACACCCCTTCACAAATGTCCAAAAACATATCTTACGGCACTAAACGCGAAGAGCCCTCTCTAAACAACTGGTGAACCCTTGCCACCAGCCTAGTGAACCCTTGCCACTAGCTGTCTAAACAACTGGTGAACCCTTGCCACCAGCCTAGTGAACCCTTGCCACTAGCTCTTTAAACAACTGGTGAACCCTTGCCACCAGTCTAGTGAACCCTTGCCACTAGCTCTATAAACAACTGGTGAAAACTTGCCACCAGTCTAGTGAACCCTTGCCACTAGCTCTTTAAACAACTGGTGAACCCTTGCCACTAACTCTTTAAATAACTGGCGAACCCTTGCCACCAGCCTAGTGAACCCTTGCCACTAACTCTTTAAATAACTGGTGAATCCTTGCCACCAGCCTAGTGAACCCTTGCCACTAGCTCTATAAACAACTGGTGAACCCTTGCCACCCAAATAGTGAACCCTTGCCAATACTAATAATAACTTAAAAACAATATATTTACCCTGTACTGAGACGTGCAATGACACCAAACGCAAAGGTCTGTTTCAGTTACAGATACAAACAAATCATTATAAAGAAGATGACTCTTTTAACTAATAACTCTTAAATAAATCAATTATAAAATTAAAACAGAACATGTAGAGAATGCATACTCAGTGAATCAACTCACCTTTTAATGGATCTTTAACACTGCCTCAACACTGTCACAATTTTTTAACTATTTAAATTAATTATTAAATCGTATTTAAATTAACATTTACCGACACTCCACTTCTTCAAAAGATTCAAAAGCAACTAAATGCCCACCTAAATATTAAACTGAACCTCTCCGATATTGTGTGCGTCTTTCATAAAAAACTATGAGCCTTAAGATATATTTTTTTAAGTGCCGTGACCAGCGTTCTCTTTATATTATCGCCGCTTGCCCTTACGTAGTCTAAACAATCTGGAGCGATAAGCTTTGAAGCCTCGCTTGACAAAATTGGTGTGATTTTGTTACGGCGTTTAAAATATATCTGAATATTATGAGGTAAAATATACAGGGTCTTACACTTACAATTTGTAAAAATCTAACCGTTTAGCTACAATACCCCGTGTCGTATGTGGTGAACAACCCTTTATAATGTAATAGCGGTGGTAATAGCTTTTTTACAAAACATACCGAATTTCAGATAAGTGAAGGCGCTCATGTTTTTTTATTATTTCGAATCATAAGTTTGTGGGAGATATTGGATTACCGATAGTGATATATTTAAAATTATCTGTTCCTGTATCCATATTTTATATTTTACACTTTTAGTATCCAATAACCGTTAACGATACTTAAATAAATTAGTCTGTAAGTATTTACCTTCGCTTCTAGCGTCTCCAACTGTGCCATTCTCGGCGGTCTAACGGCTGGCTGAAGAGTCGTCTGAAAATAAATAAAAAGTGAAAACAAATTAAAAATCCGTCGCCGATCTGCGCGACATAATTTAGCAAATAATTTCGCTTTCCATAGCGTAAAAATAAGTGGCGTATCGGCGAGATTTCCTTTTGAGATCGTCGCTCAGAACCATATTCGTTTCAATTAAACAAATAAAGTCGAGTGAAAACGAAGCTAACGATTGTTGTAGTCTAGTTTCTCCTGTTCGTTTTTGGTGTCTTTCGTGTGTGAGAAGTGCGAAAATTATAATCATCTGCTTGTTGGATGTGTACTCATTAAATGAATATTAACTCGAATTACTTACTATTCTTTACTGTTTATATAGAATGGGCTGCCAATTCTAATTAAACTTTTTGGTTTACCAATTATAGAATCGAAAGTTCATTGTCGATATGGAATATGAGTGCTGTAAAAATATATTTTTTATTTTTCACATTTAAAGTCATGTTTTCATAATTCTTTGACGTCTTGAAAGATTTCATTTCGCAACTGGTGATGATGATCACTAGTCAATAAAAACGAAGCAAATTTTCTTTAAGTCACTAATTACAACATGTACAGGGTGGTCGAAATTAGTCTGTTTTAACAGAGAAAACCTATTTCCTGACTAGATAGAGCAAAACCGACATAGATGTCATGGGCTCGATTTCTGAGACACGTTTAAACGTATGTTAAACCGCCTGTTGATATTTTCACTGCCAACTGAGATACGGGGTCTTTTTGAATTTTTTACCATTTGGAGAATTGCCCATAACTTTTGTATTTTGTATAAAAACCTTCTTAGGGCACTTTTTTAAGCACAATCCAGTGGCGTAGCCTGTTTCTATACTTGCTCTTTTTGTCAGAAATAATAAAAAATATAATTTTTTAAATGGAAATCATAGTTGGCTATGAATTTAAAAAAATGCTTTTGTTTAACCCTTTCCAACGATATAAAGTTATGTGTATTTTTATCTAAGAATGAAAAAAAAATAGTATATAATATTGATTTTGTGTTGACCTAGTTGCCTAATTATTTTTTATCGCAATTTAATATTCTATATTATTATTTATCTGCATAATTAAAGACTTCTGAAAAGGTAAATCAACATTCTATATTAGTATTACCGTTTACAATTAAAAAGCCAAGATTATAACTGATCTATTAAATGAGAAATTTAGAGAGAAATGGATTGGAACAAGGGGCCCCATATCGTGGTCCTGTGATTTAACACCTTTCGCTTTTATTTATGTGGACAATTAAAAAACCTTATATATAAGGGAAGAGCCATTGGGACGAGAGAGTTTGTCTAGTAAATTGTTGTAACTGTGCGCAAAATATGTTTATTGTGTATTCAACAAGGAGGGGCTCTAGGCAGATAAATAATAATGTAGAATATTAAATTGTGATAAAAAATAATTAGGCAAATAGGTCAACACAAAATCAAGGCCCGCTTCGATATAAAGATAAAAAACCAAATATTGCTCTCATTCTTAGAAATAAATACCCATAACTTGATACCGTTCGGAAGGGTTAAACGCCAGCATTTTTTAAAGTTCATAGCCAACTATGATTTCCATTTAAAAAAAATTATTTTTTATTTTTTCTAACAAAAAGAGCACGCATAGAAAAAAACTGACTACGCCACTGGATTGTGCTTAAAAATCTGACTTAAGAATGTTTTTACAGAATTTTATTATTCCGCAAAATAAAATGTTATGGGCAATTTTCAAAATAATAAAAAATTCAAAAAGACCCCGTATCTCAGTTGGCAGTGAAAATATCAACAGGCGGTTTACGCCATTAAACGCGTCTCAGCCATTAAAACAGAATGCAAAAACTAAAGCTCAAATGCAAAATGATTCATTTTGCAACTAATTACAAAATATTTAATCTTTAACTAATAGATCTGAAAAAGTCGCAGTTGAGCAGAGATCGGGGAAGTTAGCAACTCATTGAAAGCTGGAATTATAAAATACGATCCTGTTTGGGCTGCTACAATCCTGCTTTATCCTGCTTCAAATCCCAACCCAGCCCCACCTACCAATTTTGAAAACATTAGGAACAGTCGCACATTAAAATTACGAATGATTTTTTTTAACTTGATAAGTTTCAGCTTAGGCTGATATTTTTTTGCTTTATTTGCCTAAATATGTATAAGCTTCCAAGCCATAAATAATTATTCCGAACAGTTGAACAAAATAAGGCAGGTTCAGTGTTCGCAGGAGTAACTTTAGAGTTTTTAGTGTGACATTCGAAAGCGCCTTAACGTACCAGCGAACAATAACCTCAAATTTCCCAGTTTTCTACTATGAATTTGAATTCATAGTTCTCACAAGTGTGATTAGTGTTATTTTGTATTTTTTTAAAGAAACGTAAGTATTTTTGACGCCGCTTTTGGATTGTTTGTTTTTGTCACTGTCTAACACATTTGAATTGGCGGTATCGATTGTTCTTGATAAACAGTAAAATTGTCACGTGATGGTCATCTTTCGTGATTTAGTTTTTTTTTAGTTTTTTGTTTAATAAAAGTTTCATTTTTCATAGATATATTTGTTTAATGTTTTTTTTTTCTAGTTCACATCCCCAATGAGCCCATGGGTATTCTTACGTAATCCTCTGGCAGTCTCAGTCATCCTGCTTTTATTATGTTGCTACGTGTGACGTCACCTATCAGACTTAAACTTGCTGTATCTTGAAAACAGCAAGTGTTGCTGGGATGAAATTTAAAGCAGGATGCAACAGGGGTATAGCAGCGCAAGCGGGAACCAGTTTTGGCGATCCTGCTTCTCATGTGTTGCCAACTGGGAAGTCAGCAACCAAAATAAAAGCAACTATAGCTCAAAATTGGTAGGTGTGGCTGGGTTGGAATTTGAAGCAGGGTAAAGCAGGATTGTAGCAGCCCAAGCAGAATCATATTTTACAATTCCTGCTTTCAATGAGTTGCTAACTTCCCCGATCTGTTGGGCAGGCCTATTAAGCTACGTCAAAAATCTAGTCCGAAACTAGTAAATAATAAACGACTTTATATTATTGAGGAGCTTGAGAATCAGGTCCTTCCTTCCTTTGTTTTGGTTGTTTATATTCTAAAATGCATTCAGATTTACGGAAACACATCTTTTAAAACAACACTCTCAAGAACCGTATCTATTTTTCCTTATAAACTATCTCCATACATATTATTCTTATATTCTTTACTTCGCATCCATCATATTATAAGAACATACATCATCAGGCTATCGACACAGAGGAAACAATTCGCAGCGGAAAAAGAGAACATGTAAAATGGCGAGGTATTAATAAATCTTATTTACATTTGGGGTCAGCGTGTTGGTAACACAATGGCGGTAATAATATGGCGCCTTGTTAGCAGCGTAGGCTAATGTTTTTCTTGTTTTTTTTTATCGTTATTGGCTGAAAGAATAATTTATTAACCTTTATCACTTAAACGCAAGATTGTATTACGAACTGGTTCTGTTGCAGAATAATTTCTTGGTGATTTATTGCAAATTATTACGATCACCTACATTTCAAGCGTGTCTAGAATATTTTCGGAATTAAAATAAAGCGTATAGATTTACAAAATCAAACAGATATTGCTCAGAAAATTATTTTTCTGGTAAATTTGGCTTTATAAAAAATTACTTAAAATATATGTACTACGTAACCAAAAAAGGGTCAAGTTAACTGGGAAATTCCGATCAATGACTTTTGCAATATCATTTTTCAAGTGTTATCAATCATAATCCCTAAGCCACCACTAACGCCGTTTTTTTGTACACTATGTATTTTCAGCAAAAAATCTAAAGTATTCCCATTATACCGCTGTTCAGCTTTCTATGGCATCCGGAATTGTTCCCTCGGAAGTTACAGCTTCGTCAATCTTGAAGGTATCGCCGGGAAGAGTATAGCAGAATATATAGTCATCCGTTTACTGAATGCCACCGAATGTTTACTGAATGCCACCGAAACAAACTAAAACGCTATACAACAATTGTAATAGTATAGGGATAGAGCCTAAGAGTGAGTGGCACGCAATTCATTGTAGTTTTAGAAATAAGAAGTTACTAATAACAACTCTCCGCGGTAGAAAATATTGTTACGGATTCCGTGGGTCCACTATTTAAACTCACGATAAAATACTTAACGAATTTATTTGTTTCACTCTGTACACACAACTTATACTATTTACAACACAACTTATGCAACTACTATTACTCTAACGGTATTTCGCGGTATTATCAAACTTCAGACTATCTTCAGACTTCAGACTTCAAACTTTAAAACTTCAAACTGTCAAAGCGCGGGCCTTATATACCCCTGGCGGTTGTTTCTAGATTTTTCTAAAGAATTCTATAATTTTCTTTACTTTCTGGCGAATGCGCCAGGTTCCTCAAGGCATGTTGCGATTTTTTAGCAGTATGCAGTTATGCAACCAGTAATACACCTTGATATTGCCCCCTTCTCAAATTTGATCGTCCCGATCAAGGTTTCCTGTCTGGTATCTCTTCAATCGATCCAGATGAACTACTTTCATCTTACTTCTAGGGCTGCGTTGAATCCGGTACACAACATCATTTATCCTCTTGATGACTGTATAAGGACCTTCCCATGCTGGAGTTAACTTTGGGGACCTTCCTTTCTTGCGCTGTGGGTTATACAACCATACCCTATCGTCTTGTTGAAATCCCGTAGAATTAGCTCTGAGGTCGTAACGAGCTTTCATCCGGTCACTGGCTAGCGTAATCTTACTTCTCACGGCCTTATGAATTCCCAATAATCTTTCCTTCCTAACGATTCTTTCGAACAACAGTCCAACGTTATCTTGTTCCATTTTTCCTCCAGATCGAGTGCTTGGTCCTTGGCTGGCTGCACAAATTTTACATTGTCGACACCATTTCTTGACATCTTCGCCATAATCCACCCAGTAAAAGCGATCTCTCAGCTTGCTCAAGGTCTTGTTTACCCCAAGGTGGGCTCCAGTTCTACCACCGTGAATTTCTTTCAA